TTCTATTTTATGGTACGTTGTGGTCTGCTCGATTGGTATATAAACTCAGTACATTTGAAATATAGTAATTCATATCGCAGAGGCTCGGATTGGTGTTTTGGACTTAACTGGCTGGGCTAGGCGGAGAGCAGGGCCAATAGGACTCTAGGCTGCTCGCACGTGTTTTACGCCTCATTCATCTGATCGATAAGTCACTGCTCTTTAATTGGCGGTCACAGGTCATAACAAATATATACATATATTTTATAATGTAGAGAATATCTTCCTAGTAGTGTAAGCATTTACTTTTGACACTGGCTCAGTTTCGATCACAATGGAGTAGATGTATAAACTATCTGTCTTCCTTGAAACTATGATGTTAAAATAGCTTTAGATCTCTCTTTCTTCTTGTACTATGTCCTTAGATGCAATCTTTTTTTATGTATTACACTACTGAATTAACTACTTCTACGAATTTGTTGTTCATCTTGCTGTGCTAATGAGGTATGGCAACCGATACATATATGTGCCTGGACCTACGTTGTAGCTGGCTGACTGGACAATTAATAATATAGAGATTTGTAGAGAATTATCAGTGTTATTGATATCACAAATCTATTTAAGTTATACAACGATTTAAAACTAGGAAGCACTGAACAGTTGTTTCGTAACAATATGGGACTTCTAAATGGTGGTGAGCATGCGCAACTTCACTGAGGATTAAACCAAGGATTATTACATTCCACGGTAAACCTTTAAGGTATTGAGCCAGAATGCTATGATTTACATGTCTAACTTCAATAAGCCCAACAAACCTGGATATTGAATGAGAACTTTCGTCTAAATTTGATTGAATAGTTTCACAGTATTTGGGCGCCGAGTTAAACCTGTATATTGATATTAATACAAATAGATTATTTTTATTCATAACAATCTACTCAGTGTTCAATCTATTTGAAATTATCAAGTCAAACCTGTGACAAGTGCAATGCAAACGTATAGAATATCAGGCATTCACACACTGAAGATATTGGTAAATGATTGTGAATTTTAAAGAATTGATTAAAGTTCGAATCATACAATGCTAGGCGTTGGCTCAGAAGTAAAGTGTTTAGGTATGAAGCCGAAGGTCTTGAGTGTGACCTCCTCTCACGACATGGATGGACATCTCTAAGTGATCTCGTGAGAAGAGACAAGTATATTTGCACAACTGGTTCTTGGTTTTCACTATGCAATCAGATTTAGGATCACAGTAACAAATATAAGCCAGTTAAGGATATCCGTAGACAGTCAGGTATAGTTATGACAGAAACAAAGTAATTACCAGATTGTATGAAATTTCCGAAGATGATGAAATGGTCAAAACTTCTGGAAGGTGAATTAACACATTTACTTTTACGACATTAATTTCAGGTAGCGTATTCTATTTATGATCTAGCCCCATCCCATTTTTTGTGTATGATGAATTATACTACTTATAAAATATCCAGTAATCAGTTTCACTTTTTATAACCTTTTAACATATGTTGATGTATATTACCAAGTATCTACATAAACTGTTAATGTTCAGTTTATTTTATTGTTATCATAACTGTATATCCCTGAAAAGAAAACTTCTAATAGTTTCCTTCATTGCTGTTGTATTTATTGAACAGTTTTTCTATTGCATGTACTTTTCATCTTAGTGTTTCTTCTTATTATGGACTATTATCTGCCATTGTAGTCACATAACAACTGTTAGCTATTATATAGGCTTTTGTATGTTGTTGTAATTAACCTTTAAATATATATATATATATCCGTTTCGGGAATATTCTTTATTTGATTGTTTACTAGTACAGTAAACATCATAGATACCTTACGAATTAATGTTTGCAAATGATATTCCATATAAATTCACTTAGTATTGTTTGTTTGAATCTTCCAATTGATGTTTAGCACTGCAGTTGATCAGTCACTTATTAGTATATGTGCATCCTGTGAACATTGCCTCGATATAGCCTTAATTCGCAAGCATTCTAAGCAAACATGGATAGTGGATGGCAATCGAATCCAGGACGCGCGTTTCGTCCTATTTGGGACTTGTCAGCTGAATGTACCTGTACCTCAAACTTGATGCGCCGGAGTGAACATCAACTCTGAGGTACAGATGCATTCAGCTGATGCGTCCTAAATAAAAATAAACGCTCGTCCTGAATTACATTGCTGGACACTATACATCTTTTTATATAATGCTTGGATATTCCATATATTTTCGTAATAATAGTTCGTATTTCATATAAACTACACATTTTTGATCCTTAGCTTTTATGAATTAGTTGATCGTGTAATCAGAAGCTTTGATAGGACCTAGTAGTTATTTTTATACTGTACTACATATAAGCTTGAATTTAAGTTATTAACTACAGAAGTAACTCACCTATTGGTTCGTTGGTTCTCGTGTTACGTATGCCAAAACACTGCTTATCACGACGCGTCATGCTGACTAGTTTTGCGGATGGTTGGAAGAAAGATAGGGGCAGCCAACCCAAAAAGTGGCGTCAATCTATAAAGCTAGTAACTTCTGGCCTGAGCCACGTTGGTGGTAGATGCATACTAATTGTTTGGGGTCTGCACGACTATCGTAACCTGTAGTTGGAGACTCTGGGTGACATGACTCAGAATCGATCACAGTGGTGTAAATGTAAACACTCTTTTTCTTCTCTGAAACCATGAGATTGCATTACTTTATACCTTTCTGATTTGTGAGCGAGGATGATAATGATTGGTTTTCTGCTTGGTCAGACATGTAAATAATCTGACAGGTGTCAGATGAGTTATATATTCCCTATCTTTATTAATAATATCACTCATTATTGATTGTTCATTGTTGTTGGATTGTGTCGGGTTTTAGTGTGGTAATATATTTACGTTGTGGTCAGGCTAATCACGTGTTCTTTATCTGAGTTGTGTTGAACTACTTTAGAATAGGCACTGGAAGGGAATCTAGTGTAGATATTCGATTTAAGGTGAATTAACGTCGCATACGTGTAAATGTGGGAAACTAACCGTTATAAATTAGACGAAGTAAAACTGAGCGTTATAACACTTTCTTTCTATGAACTAATTCTTTCTCCCTGTATCTTACCATTCTATTCAATCTACTTTTGATATATTACTACTATTGTAGTAACTACTTCCATGAAATTGGTGTTCATCTTGTTGTGCTAATAATGTGTGGCAACTTTCTAAAATGCATATATGTGCCTGATCCTACATTGTAGATCACTGACTAACTGATTACCCTGTTTTGTATCACTTAAAACCTAGTTATGTAAAAATTATGATTTTGTTTGTTTTGTAATGCTGTGTGAACATTTAATTAATACATATGAACCTATGAGTTTATAAGTCATAGAAGACGTTTTTTGTCACCTAATTGATTATCGAGAGATCTCGGATCAATAAGAATTAGGATCCCAATCAAACTATTGATCAAGTGAAGTTCATTGGTCATATTTAAGTAAAGTGAATTAGTTTTAAGCAGACTCAATGTTACCCAATGAAACGGGTAATGTAGAACATGTATTTTTTATACTAGTGTGGTGTATGCTACTGATATCGACAGATATAAGTAGTATATATCATCAAACAAAAGTGAAATACCTGATAACAGAAGGTTAAGAAGACTCAGATTCAGTAGAACGTCTTCATTAGTCATCACTAAAGTATTGAGAAAAGTCGTTCGACAAATCAATTTTGTTGTATAGTTTTATCATTCAACTTTAAAGCTACATTGGTGACTTTCTTTTTCAGAGTGTTTTTAATCACATTTTTTAAAATATTCAGTCTCCGCTTAAACCAAATTGAAACTAGAACAAACTTTCACACTGTCTAAACAGTATACAAAATTAGTTCATTTGGTTTATTTAACATTTCATATACTTATGTGGTATGTACTACTGATATTGATAGATATAAGTAGTATGTACCATCAGTCGAAAGTGAAATACCTGGTGGTAGAAGGTTAAGAAGATCGAAGAAAAGCGAATGAGAAATGAAAGAACAATGAAGTTTCAGACGATTAATTTATATTTTTCATATGAAATATTCACTGTATGATTCAAAGATTTTACGAAGAGATTCAAATACATTTGATTATCCCCACTTGTGTTCTCAACACGCAAAAACAAATGCAGGAGAAGACACCCAGTATATCAGCAGCCTCAACAGCAGTAGGTCTGAACATACACAAAGGGAAAATTAGGGTTCTCCGATACAACACAGCATGCACTAATCGAATTACACTTGAAGGAGAAGAATTGGAAAATGCAAATACATTTACATATCTGGACAGCATCATTGATGTGCACGGTGGATCTGATGAAGATGTGAAGGCATGGATCAGAAAAGCAAGAGCAGCATACTTACAACTGAAAAACATCTGGAACTCAAAACAACTGCCTGTTAATCAACACTAAAATCAGAATTTTAAATACAAATATCAAGACAGTTCTATTGTATGGGGCGGAAACCTGGTTAACTACGAAAGCCATTAACCAGAAGATACAGATGTTCATTAACAGTTATCTACACAAAACACTTCGGATCCGTTGGTCAGATATTATCATTGACAACCTGTTGTGGGAGAGAACAAACCAGATCCCAGAAGAGGAAGGAGTCAGGAAGAAGTGCTGGATGTGGATAGGACACATGTTTAGGAAAGCACCCAACTTCGTTACAAGACAAACCCTCACATGGAATCATCAAGACCAAAGGAGAAGAGGAAGAACAAAGAACACCTTATGTCGAAAAATGGAGACAAATATGAGAAGAATGAATAACAATTGGATGGAACTAGAAAGGAAGGCCCAGGATATTGTGAGTTGGAGAATGCTGGTCGGTGGCTTATGCTCCATTTGGAGTAACAGTTGTAAGTAAGTAAGTATGCAACATGTGTTCTCATTCACTATATCAGAAAGAGATAAGACTTAATAAATCATTTATTGGTAAATCATTTATTATAAAAACGTTTAATGGTATCATTTGACGAGGTAAGTGTTGATACATTTGAATTCATACTTGACGATAGATGATGATGATGGTGACGATGATGAAATGATTCGTGATTGTGGTATTTCAATAGTATTTTGTAATTTATCAACTGTTTTTCTATTTAAATAAGCACCAATTAATAATTCATAAAATATTGCACCAATAATAGAACCAATATATGGTGCTACAATTGGAATCCAAAAATAATAATGATCTTTTTTGAATGCATCCAAACCTAATTCTATGCAGAAGAAGAAAAAAGTGGATTATAAAACCATGGAGATGCCAGAATTATAAAAGGTTAACAAGCATATACTTTAGAATCAAAGGCTTTCAAATGCCCTAGTACAGCCTAGGGTGCGGAGTGTTGGTTCTCCCTCTCGAAATGCTCTCACATAGCCGCCACGAAATTCCTACTTACTGCCTTCTTGTAGCATTACTTTTGTTTACGAAATTGAGAAGACGAAAAGCGAATGTACAGCACAGGCTTTTACCGGGTTGGTAGATATGGAGGATCTACCAAGGGCAGTTGGAAAACTCTGATTTCAAAACAATGATGAACAGGGGCTCGAGGGTCCCGAAGGAACAAATAGTGTATGAACCAATTATTCGTCACCGGCTACCATGGGACTACATCTCTTGATGTTGCTCCACTGCTTTAAAGATCAGACCTTTAGGTCGAACGCTCGGGTTGTGGTCCCCTAAGAACACCCCCTGCTTTGGTCTGGGCACTCGGGCAGTAGCCCAGTCCTCACACAAATCGAATGATTTATGTGGCGTGTATCTATTTGGTGTCTTCTTGTACCAATATTTGTGTTTAAATAAATAAATAAATAAATAAATATAATATAATCAGAGAGGGGGGTTTATGGAGACTGCAGTAATTTAATAATTAAATTCATGAGTCAATTAAAGCTAGGCCACCATGGAAAGTCTGGAAACATTGGAAGGCTATTTCATCGTAGTATGGGTCTCCTCAGCAGTGCGCATCCCCGAATCCAAGACCCATATCTTATATCAAGCATTATTAGTCTTCATCATGAACTGAATTTAGTTAGATAACTATTTAAGTTAAGAAAGAAATAGAAAAACAGGTTTTTCGTCCCACAATATGAACTTTTACAAATAAGAACCCATAGTCCCATAGAGGATCAAATCTAAGAAATTGTTTTCGCAACATAAACGCTTTATACCTTGAAACTATTGAGCTATCGTTTGATGATTTACATATCTAACTTCAAATAATTCACAGCGTTGTACAAATTAACCTACTGTGTGAAAGAACAAACCAGATCCCAGAGGAGGAAGAAATCAGGAAGAAGTGCTGGAAGTGGATAGGACACACATTGAGGAAATCACTGAACTGCGTCACAAAACAAACCCTCACATGGAATCCTGAAGGCCAAAGGAAAAGAGGAAGAACAAAGAACACATAACGCCAGGAAATGGAAATAGACATGACAGAAATGAACAAGAATTGGATGGAACTAGAAAAGGAGGCCCAGGACAGAGTGGGTTGGAGAATACTGGTCGGCGGCCTATGCTCCATTAGGAGTAACAGGCGGAAGTAAGTAAGTAAAGTAAGTATTTGTACAAATACCTTTGTATATCTCGTAACTGACTTAGTTATACTTTACTAATCATCATCGTTTCACCTTAAAACTATGATAAAATCGTCTAGAAATCATCGAATACTACAATCATATAGTTACCTACTTAAACTTGGTTAACAACAATTATTTAATTTAAATCGATATATTCTTTAAATTATGTAATTCAATAATCTATACAAACATCATGTAACTATATATATCATTTACTGATGAATGATATTTCTCTGTGGTGTCAGTTAATTTATTGATTTTGTAAACTATGTACACAATACTAGATTATTGATTAATTTCACAGGTTGAAATCATGAGTCAATTGAAGCTAGACCACCATGGAAAACCTGGAAGCACTGGACGGCCATTCTGTCCTAGTATGGGACTCCTCAGCAGTGCGCATCCACAACCCCGCACCCCGCGAGGTTCGAACCCAGGACCCGAACCCATTCTGATATTGATTAATTATTAGTTCCGTTTACTCAAATTTATTGATTAACCGAATATCGAATATGTTATGTAATTTATTATTATTACTGAAGATGTAGTCCAATTAGTAAGTGATGAGTAAATCAGTCTTCTTCTACAATCATGCTTTTCTCCCTGAATTCTTATTCCGTTGTGATGAATAACAAATCAAAATAGTTGCATTATGGTGTATGTTATTGATGTCGACAGATATAAGTGAAACGTTTTGTTTCAGAGGGCTAAAAATAAGATCAAAGAAAAGAGAATAAGAACAAAGAATGATCTGTGTGGTAACGAAGGGATAACGTAGTCTGAGACGATTGATTGACATGTATTGTATGGTTCTTAAATTTTATTAAGCTCTTCTGTAATTTTACTTTTAAATACATCCGATTGTTCCCACTTGTCTTTTCTTTTGTTCACCACAGTTTCAGTAGTTGAAATCAGCGCTTAGCTCAAATCATAACCTTGATAAATCAGTCTTGTTCCAATTCATTTCAATAATGATTCATAAATGGAATATTTTCATAATCTAACTTCATCTACAACACAGAAAACTCACAATAGATAATGGATCCAAGGTAGAAAAGGAATCATACTATTATTTTTTTTCTTGAATGTATCCCCAAAAGTTCATACAAATAGTTGAATACTCTTTTAGTATCAACAGCTTCCTCATTAATTTGGTTTATAAAATGTAAATCACGAAAGTAATTACACATAGAGTTATACTACTGATAAGTATAATAAGTAGTACATTTTATAACTCTTAATTTTATTCAAATGTCTTTTATCATTTAGTTAATTTGATGTTAAACAATATTGTCTAAATCACTAAGTTATTACATATATTTCAATCCTACGGGATATCACGGATTAGCAGTTCATTGAAATCACTTACTACAAATTTGGAAATGTTCAACTTGATAGTTGAATTCATGAGTCAATTGAAGTTAGACCACCATGGAATACGTGGAAGCACTGTGCGCATCCATTATCCCACCTTGAGAAATTCGAACTCAGGACCTATCGGTCTCGCACGCGAGCGCTTAACCACTTGACCACTGAGCTTGCATCCAATGGTGTTAATGCCTAACTTCAACCAATCCATGAAGTTGCTCCACCGTCCACCATTGTCATTATTAAATTACTATCTCACAACAGACCCGGTTGAACTTCACTGGTCACGGCATATGATGATTATAATCAGAAATGGGTTTCGAGAATATTATAGTAATTTAGTAGTTGAATTCATGAATCAATCGAAGTTAAACCTTCATGGAAAACCTAGAAGCACTGAGGGCCATTTCGTCCATGAACGTTGTTGTTTGCTTGATAATGACTGATTTAAGCTTTTGTTTCAATAAAAGGCTATTTGATTCACCTCTAAATGGTAAAGTGATGTAGACAGGCTTTTTCTCTGTCAAAGCTATAATAGGTCTCACTGTACCATGAACTTTCATCTATTTATGAATTTAAGAGGATAGTCATTTTCCATTAATGTTTTATGTAACAACCTGACATTATTTGTGGGGTCATTTGTACAAATACGATTAGGCCTGTTAAATAGGCATCTTATCAAACCTAATTGTATTGCACGGAACAATAACTATAATAGCTAAGGTATTGACCTATTCATGTTGATTTTCTAGCAATGAATCATGTGATTGAGCCATCTCCTCCATCTACTGGGAAGTATATCTAAGAAAGGGAAGCTGGTTGCTCTTCATCACTTCACATGAAAGACTATTATGGTTTTGGAGGGTGTTAAGTTTTACTTTATAAACATTTGATATATCAACATAGTTCTGATAATCTGCGTCGTATGACACTAGTGAAATTTATTAAAGGGATTAATTGCGTTAAATTTCTAATATTTTCATCATAACTTTTCTGCAAACATATGTTCTTCCTGATTTTCCATAATGTTCGGACGTTCCGTGTACCTATAAAAATTGTTGCTCTGGTTGTCAGAAGCGGCATCGGCCTCGTGACTTCCGAAGGAAATCGGCTTTTATCATTAGGCGTCATAACTCTTCTGAGTGAAGAGATTCTAATTCTCAGGGTAGTGTCGAAATGGTTTGAATTGATTTTTCTAGTTAGCGTTTTTTAGCGAGTTAGTTTTATACGGGATGAGTTCGGTAATTCCATGCCAACCCTCCTTCTTTATTGGGGCTTGGGATCGGCAGTAACTCTAGAAGAGCTTCAGGCGGATCAAGACAACTAGTGTAGCAGCAAACTCTGTATCAGTAAGCCTCGACACACACAAAGGAAAAAGCAAGATCCTCAAATTCAACACAGAGAACACCATCCCAATCACACTTGATTGCGAAACTGTGGAAGATATGGAACTTTCACGTACGTGAGAAACATCATCCATGAACAAAGAGGATCGGATGCAGACGTAAACATGAGAATTGGCAAAGCAAAGACAGCATACCTACAAGTGAATAACATATAGAACACAAAACAACTGTTTGTCAACCAATATCAAAGTCACAATCCTCAATACGAACGTCGAGATAGTTAGTTTTACTGTACAGAGCTGAAACTCGGACAACTATTACAACCATCATCAAGAAGGTACAAGCATCTGTAAATAGTTGTCTACGTAAGATACTCAACATTCATTGACCGGATACCATCAACAATAACCCACTGTGAAAGAGAACAAACTAGCTTCTAGTTGAATAAGAAATTAGGAAAAGACGATGTAAACCGATAGGCCATACATTACAGAAATCCCCAACATGAAATCCTGAATGGAGGCGGAAAGGAGGAAGGCCAAAGAACACGTTAAGTCGGGAAATAGAATGAGATATGAAAAAGATGAATAACAACTGGAAAGAGCTGGGAAGGATTACCCATGACAGGGTTGGATGGAGTGTGCTGATGGTTGGCCTATGCTCCTCCAGACGTAAATAAGTAACACATACATTGGATTGAATAGCCAAAGTAAACCAAAAACAAAACAAACAAAAAAGTCACAATATAATAATAAAAACAATATTCACTTACCACATAATGCAATTGTTATTCTTGGACCTAAATCACGTATTGGATTAATTGATGTACCAGCATTCATTGATAATGATGTAATTCGTCCAGATGTGAATAGAATTATATAAATTAATCGATAATTTTTTTGTATTTTATCATTTCTTTCATCCCTTATTAATAAAATAAATATTGTTGTCATGATAGTTAATAATAAACGATCAATAAAACATATTAAATGTGATCCATTAGGTGTTATTATAAATTGATTTAATATAATCAATTTTATGTTGTCATGGATACTAATATAATTATAATAATATAGATAATAAATCATTAAACTTGATAATAATGAACTAATTAATTGTATAATTGTTAATGGAATTACATAATGAAATGATAATTTATTAATCAATGCTAATGATAATGTAATCGATGGATTCATTAAACTATTATAACCTAATGGTTGAGTTATAATTTGTGATAATAATAATGCAATTGACCAACCAATTGATATATTGATATAATATAAATTATATTTTAATGTATTATGTATCATACTACTTAATCCAATTGTAATTAATATAAATGTACCAATAAATTCACTAAAACAAACATTTAATAAATGTTTATTATGAATAAAAGAAAATTTATGTTTGATTTTATATAAGAAATAGATATAGTTGTCATGGAGATTAATTTTATACATTCTCTTTAGTGAATAAAAATTGTACTATAAGTGTTATATGAATTATATTATTAATCATATTTTAAAAAAGACATGTGGGGGTGTTCTTTATTTTTTTTTTAATGATAATTGGTTTATTTATAATAGATTTATGTCAATACTTATTCCATTGCATCAATAAAATTGTAATATATATTATGTAATTCAAGGACTGTTATGTGATTGGTTCGTTTGTAGAGATTACTGTAGTGTTTTTTTAATGCTTACAGTGATAGTTAGTTAGTTATTTAGTTAGTTACTTACTTACTTACTTACTTACTTACTTACGCCTGTTACTCCGTGTGGAGAAGCATAGGCCAACCATCAGCACACTCCATCCAACCCTGTCATGGGTAATCCTTCCCAGCTCTTTCCAGTTGTTATTCATCTTTTTCATATCTCATTCTATTTCCCGACTTAACGTGTTCTTTGGCCTTCCTCCTTTCCGCCTCCATTCAGGATTTCATGTTGGGGATTTCTGTAATGTATGGCCTATCGGTTTACATCGTCTTTTCCTAATTTCTTATTCAACTAGAAGCTGGTTTGTTCTCTTTCACAGTGGGTTATTGTTGATGGTATCCGGTCAATGAATGTTGAGTATCTACGTAGACAACTATTTACAGATGCTTGTACCTTCTTGATGATGGTTGTAATAGTTGTCCGAGTTTCAGCTCTGTACAGTAGAACTAACTATCTCGACGTTCATATTGAATATGTGACTTTGATATTGGTTGACAGACAATTGTTTTGAGTTTCATAGGTTCTTCAATTGTAAGGTTGCGTCCATTAATAATGGTTGGTACTTAATAACTATGACCATCTGTCCAGTAGATAACCAATAAATGATGTTTATTCCTCATCTACGACAGATACAGAAGCTGGTTTTTCTACATGTTAAAGTATTAGGGTGGATACATCTGGAAAATGAGCGTAATTTCATATTGAGGGTACAGTGTGTTGGTTCTCCCTCTCGAAATGCCCTCACATGTCCACGTGCATAGAACCACCGCCACGGAACTCCTATTTACTGCCTTCTCGCACCACAGGTGTTGTTTACCAAAATCGACTGGACGAAAAGTGAATGCCCGGTGCCTTAAACGGATCAGCGGGTACGGATGATCCGCGTAGAGGAGTTCGAAAACCCTGAATTCAAACCAATGAAGTACATGGGCCCCAGGATCCTGAGAGAACAAATGGCGTATGACAAGATAGTTCGTTACCGGCTACGATGGGACTGCATCTTGTGACGGTGCTCCACTTCTTTGTAGATCAGACTTTTAGGTCAAAGGCTTTCAGTGTAGCCGGCTAAAGAAACCACCCGGTTCGGTGAGCACTATAATAATCCGCATGAAATTCAAGGGATAAATATTCAAAAACGAATATTTAGTTATAAAAATTGGAATTCCCATTGTAGTGAACAAGAACACAAGCGGTAACAATCGAATGTATTTTAACAAAAAACTACAGAACAGCTTAGTAAAATCTGAGAATCATACAGTGAATACTTCATTCGCAACATGACGATCAATCGTGTCAGACTTCGTTGTTTTTTGTTCCTGCAGCAATCATTCTCTGTCCTCGTTCTCTTTTCATTGATCTTCCTAACCCTTTCTTGCCATATGTTTCACTTTCGATTGTTTCCAAAAGTTAAAGTATTCACATGAATAAATCAAGAAAATAAAAGTAATTTCATGGTCATTGGGCATATTTAAATCAAAAATACTGTTTATGCAACCATATCAAGACAACATGTATATCACCGATCACATTATAGTTTATTTTAATAATTAAAACACTATTCATTGCTTATGAGACGTTAGATCGATGAAAACCTGCATCCTTGAATATTTGGGCTACCTGTTCCTGCCATCTGGATATTTCAACAAATTTTCTTTTTTATTTGTTTTAACACAGCACTATGCCCATTAGTCTCGTGACCTATTCAGCCGTGATTATGAAAAGTTTATGACCTTTCGTTGTACAAGTTACAAAACAGCCCAATCAGATACATCGTGGTTGCTGGCAATATTCAGAAGAGGGAATGTACATTAAATAAATGTTTACTGACTGGACTGCTAACATCTAACTGGAGATCACTCAATCTTTATCGTCAATAGTGTTTTGTTGTAGTATTCGCTAAGGTTAGGTTTGAGTCATTACTCAATCTAAGGTATAGGTTAAGGATACAGTACAGAGTTAGTATTGAAATTAGGATAACAAATAATATTGGCTAAATGAAAAGTTTTGGTGTATGAAGACTGATTTTCTGTCCTAACCCTGATCTCTTACAGTTAAGGGCATCTAGTCAGCCTAATAAGTTCATTAATCAAGTACGAGTAATATCATATAAACACTTATGACTAGTTAAGGTGATTAGTTTCCCAAGTTCTGGTAAGAATCCGTGACCAGTGGAGTTAAACCGTGTCCAGCGTGAAGACGCTACCCACTGAAGACAATGATATATGGTCACATAATATCGTTGACCGGATACCATCAAAAATAGCCTACTGAGGAAGTGATCAAATCAACTTACAGATAAAAAAGAAATTAGGAAAAGACGCTAAAAGTGGATGAGTCATACATTTCGACAAGTCCTAACTTGGAATCTTGAAGGAAAACGGAAATGTGGAAGGCCAAAGAACACTCTGTGTCTGGAATTGATAGCAAACACGAAAATTGAGTAGAAACTGGGGGAGGAGTGCATAGGACAGATAAAGAGTGCTGGCGGGTGGCCTCTGCTCCTCCATCAGGGGTAACAGGCGTAAGTAAGTATCAGTAAAAATAGTCTCAATTAGTTTGCAATATTTTTCGCCAAACATTTTATATGAAGAAAAGTTTTTAGGGGAAAGAGTATTTTACCAGCTTGTTTCATAAATAGTTGTTATTTGACATTTTTCCACAACACTTCAATATATCTGAAGTAATGTCAAGTTTTGCCAGATAATATTAGTATTTTAAGTGAAAAGAGGAAATTTAAATGACAAAATGTAACAGTCCATTAATAAAATATTGCTACTTAGTAATCCATAGAATAGAATGTAATGTGTTTGAAAACTTTTAACAGTATGACTGTATTAATCTAACATCTACAGCGTATACAAAGTGGAACAAGCCATAATGCTTATGTTTTCATTGACAATATTGTACGAAAGTAGGATTAAAGTCGCTTTTAAGATAAATTACAAGCACATCATCGAACAGCGTACCACAAATCTTAAAAAAACATAATGACTTAGATAAGCAAACCAATACATAATTATTTTGTAGGAAAGTCTTAAAAGGTTTGAATATATCAACGAGATCATAACAGAATTATGTTATATTGGGCAAAGTTGAAGCAAAATGGTGGTTGGGGGTGGTCAGTAGGAAACTCTGGACCCGATTTCCATGCTATTTGGCACCCGTCTGTAAGGTGTACCTGTACCGTGTCACTCGGTTTCACAATCAGAGACGATACCAACTTGGTCGTTAGGATTTGACCTACACTAACAAGGACTTGACACATATGACACTGATCACCACACAGTAATCAATCAATTGTAAATACATCTCACTCCTACAGAAGGTCAGCCACGGCCTCGATAGCCCATTGGTAACGGCTCTGACCGTAAAGCTGACTGACACAGGATTGAACCCGACAGGGTGCATCAGTTCCATCAAGATTACAAGTACATCTTACTAACTTGTGCTAAGTAGCAAGAATCCTAGGTCACCCAGAGTTTCGTGTTGACTACCTCCAACCATCATCTCATCTCAACATAATGCACGAAATTTCGAGTCACCTAAACTAGTGACCACACTATAACTTGGTTGATCCTCACTAAGAAGGACCTGGCATACGTGATATTGATCACCATCCAGTGATCAACGAATTGTGAGCAGAGTTATTATTATTAGTATTACTATCATTACTATATATATATATATATATATATATATATATTGTAATGAAGTCAATAAAATCAACTTCTACAGATTCGCACACAAAGAATAAACGTTGATTACATAATTCCATTTTGAAAAAAAGCAAACCAATGTAGAATAGAATAATGTATTGTATGCACATGTACCCACCTACAATTTGGATCAATATATTCAACCATTTAAAAAAGGTAAGTAAATGTTAAAAACAATTAAAGTCGTGCATACTATAATCATCATCATCATTATCACCATCATCATCACAGGAGTAATTATGTCAAATAATAATGAATCAATCTATCAAATACGCTATAATGCATTTATTAAACAATTAACAAATTATATTAATTTAACTAAATGGCCATTATTATGTAATTGTATTAATGAATTTATTGGTACAACAATATTTATTATATTTGGTTTAGGTGTTATGATTCAAACAAATATTCATTCAATAAATGATAAAAATATTGGACAATATTTATCTATATCAACAGGTTGGGGTATAGCTAAAATTATTGGTTTATTAATATCAACTAATGGTTGTGGGGGTGGTAGTGGTGATAGTGATGGTGACGATCATGATAGTAGTAACCATGGTAATCAATCAGGTTTATTAAATCCATCGATTACATTTGCATATTGTTTAATTGGTAAATTATCATTTCGTTATCTTATCCCATATAGTATAGTACAATTATTAGGATCAATATTTGGTACATTTATTATCATTTGTATTTATTGGGAAAATATACAATTATATGCTAAATTATATTCATATGGTAAATTAGAAATGAATTATACTGGTTCATTATTAGTCAATATACCTAATGTATCCCATCAATTATGTTTATTAGATTATATTATATCCAATACAATTTATTCATGGATTATATTAATCATTAATAATAATCATAATTTATCATATGAATTTCAATTAATTTATATTGGATTATTATTCACTGGTATTATTGGATCATTATCATTAAATATTGGTATTGGATTAAATCCAGCTAGTGATTTAGGTGCAAGAATAACAATATCATTATGTGGTAAATGATTGATTATGTAATATGTATATATTCCTTTTACTATACAGATATATATGTTTCTATGGTGAGATGGTCTTTGTGTGACGTTGAAATGATCTTGAGGATATCCATCTGGAAACTAGGACTGAATAATGACCACAAACCAGTTTGTTGAAGAATAAGGATTATGATTTATAATGGATGATTAGGATAATTTAGCCAAGTAGATCACTCCAAGAGATGTTATTTTATATCTGTTTAGTACTTCCACACATTGTAGTCTTGTTAGTTGAGACTATAATTTACGGACAACATTTGAGTGATGCTAAAACGACACTGAGGATGTTCACATACTAACTAAAATTAGATAATGATTATAACCCGAATCGAGAAATTAGAATAATGATGATTAAGGTTAAGTATTAGATTTAGGTTCTTCATCACGAGCTGAAATCAGCTATAATGCTAAAATGATATCTAACCTAGTGGATGAATGAATTTTGTGCCAAAATCGAAGATCTGTTATTTTATATCTGACTGATTCGTCCATAAATTACAGTCTTGCCATTTATTTTATAGTTAAGAGTGAAATTTAGGGTGTGTATTACGTAATATTTGAAATTTGTCAATTGGATGATCTTACATCCGAGTGTTGCTATTCACAATGAAATTGGAACTCAATGTGTTAAGCTTCAAACTTTGATGTTGTTCATACCCTGAAACTGATCCAATGTAGTTTTAATTATTATACTTATTATGCAAACTAGTTGCTATTTGGATTCAGTAGTTTAATGAATAAAGCGTTTGGTATTTGATGCAAAAAACATTGGACTCTAGTTTTGATGTAAACATTAACACTGGATTGTTAGTATATCCGTCTGAAGATTCCTCAATATAACGAAAAGAGAGCTCAAATAAACCGAAGCATCTAAATAAGTTTCATCTGTTAGATAATATTAATTACGTTGTGTAAACTTTACTAATGATGGCTAGAAGTGTAGTATGAGTGGGGATATTATCGAAATGAACTACATCACATCTTCAATTAAAATATGAAAGCAATTAGATTGATATTGTTATTTTCATGTTAACTGTATACTCGTCATATCCAATATAGCTCAAACTCTTTGGGTCTATTTGTCAAAATTGTTGGTTAGTTAGTGATATTTCAGTATCATTAATTTTTTAATTAAAGTCCTCGGTGCTTGGATATAGTAGACAAGAAACCCTGGTTGACGTAGATTTTGCACCAGCTGGAGCTCGTTAGTATGGTGTGCTTCCAACCTTAGATGGACTGTCGTTTCTTGTATGATTCATGCCCACGTTACTCAATTTCACAGTCTAAGATATTACCACTGAACTATTTGGATTCTAACTGAATTCCTAGAAGACTAGGGTGTATTTACGACTGATGTCACTTTAAGCAGAGATGGATAATGGCTATCAGTGCAATCCACGACTCGCGTTTCGTCCTGTTGAAAAGATACAAGTAATACAACACCAAGTGAATTTAAACTTCACCCCACTGCATAAGCAGGTGGGTGTCAGCACTCATTAGCTAAGTAGATAACCGATGATGTTTGAAGCGAAAGGTACTTGGTTCGAGTCCCACAGTGGACATCAACTCTGAGATGCAGGTACATCCAGCTGAAGAGTCCCAAAGAGGACAAAACGCGCGTCAAACTGGATTCTACTGCTAGCCACTATCGATCTTTACTTAAAAATTTTGTGACTTAAGACTATATCGAGGTAATTAGCTCAGGATGCACATATGCCAACAAGAGATTGATCAATTATAGTCCTAAATAACAATAGGAAGATACAAGTAAAACAACACCACATTTTATTTTATATTTACTAATCAATTTAGTTTGAATTTGATGTGATATAATTTTTTTTCCAGATTCATTAACACCTTTCTTTTCTTTTTGTTGTTCTTCTTTCTTTTTTGCTTCAATTTCATTGCCATGGCAACTCCCACCCACCCCCCCGAAATAAAAGGTTGGGGTATTCAAGCATTCAAAGCAAATAATTATTATTTTTGGTTACCATTAATTGGACCATATATAGGAGCAATAATTGGTTCATTATTTTATGGATTTATTATTAGTTTACATATAATACCATTATCTGATATTGATCAATATAAAATACAAAATAATCAATGTACAATAATTAATTCAAGTAGTAACTATTTACAAAGTAGTTTCATTGAAGAAATGAATGAAGATTTATTTAATATAACAGAAATTGATGATTGTTTTATAGATAGTGAAGAGACCATAGATTAAATATCCATTCACGACTATCTTTGTATTACATAATCATCATCACCATCATCATCCTAATCATAATCACCATGGTGATATTTTAAAATATCTCCCCCTTTTTTTAATCATCCAGTCAATTTTATCAATATAACTTCATATATGATGGAAATAATCTTGTAGGATTTTCAAATAATAAAAGTTGCCTAGTTGAAAATCTTTCTTTTTCTTATATTTGAATAAAGGTATATTGAAATGATTTCAGTCAGTAGAGTAATATTTGTGAAATAATAACAAACTAATGCAGTCTTCAGTAATGAGGATAGTAGGTTGGTGAACCTATATTAATCCTGACAGATTGCCTTCCAGTGAAGGTTCAGTTCCTCCTTAAGAAAGCCTGGGAACACTGGGCGATTGTTTCGTCCTAGTATAGGACTTATCAGTGGTGGTGCGCATTTAGGATCCAGCGAACTCTTAACCTCTAGATCACTGAGCTGGCTGACATCCAATAGTGTTAATGTCTGACTTCAACCAATCCACGAAATTGCGCGACCATCTTTAATTGTCAGAGGTAGATATCTGTCTCTGCCTAACATGGATTAGCTCCACCAGTCATGGCTTCTCAATAGAACTCGGAGAATTACATCAGAAAGTTAATCACTAGTGAGCACATGGTAATTATCAGTGTAGGACGAAACGACCGTTCAGTGCTTCCAGGTTTTCAATGGTGGTCTAACATTCATCGATCCATGATCTCAATCAAAAACTTAATAGTCTCCACAACCCGACACTGATAATTGATTGAATGTCCTTGCGGAGAGAGAAGGGAACTATCCTACTAATAGCCTATAATCTGAGTGGTTGGTAAGCGGGGAGGAAAAAGACGACTTGGCAGAAAGACTGTCCTATTTATTCGTGATTCGTACTAAGTCTAAAACGCATATGAATAAGTATTTGACTAGTGAGGCTGGCCAAAGAACATGTTACGTCGCGAAATAGAAGCATATATGGAAAGAATGAATAACAACTCGGAAGAGCCGAAAAGAATTGCCCAGGACAGGGTTTGGATGAAGAATGCTGATGGTTGACCTATGCTCCACCAAGAGGAGTAACAGACGTAAGTAAGTATGTAAGTAGTGAGGTTGGGAAAGATACAATTTCGACTGAGTTTTGTCCTGAGTTTGATGGCTTGACCGTGGAGCTTTCATCGTTCTTCTGGGTGACATCATCAGCACATCAGACAAGACGGAGGCCCTCTTTATCTTCGCCTACATGAACTTCAATTAGATGTCAAACGCCATGACATATCCTCACTTAAATCAATTCATGTGGTCACCTATGGACACACATTCAACTGGAAAAATGTTGAGATCTTGGATAGAGGCAATCAACATTGAGTTCTACAGGACAAGCTGTGAGTCATTTCTGCCTGAAGTTTGTGCAGATAATGTCGTTCAGAAGAACGTTGAAAACTCCACGACTAAACCATCCAGGTCAATGAACAAAATTTCATCGAAGTCACCCACCTGAGCTATAAATCTTCTCCACCATCTCAAAGATACATTTATTTTTCACTTAGGAAATAAGAGTAAAACAATGAAATACACAGATCACGTCCAACTTACAGTAGTTTTTTAATATAAACGGATATGACAGTAATTTATGAATTAAACAAAAGCTTATGATAAATAGAATAAAATTAGAATTCGCTGTTTGTAACCACATATCTATTTCTCTCTTCACATTAATTCCTGACTGAACAGTTGGATTAGGCTTCTGGTATGTTTTATGAAGAACTCACTATGGAAGATGTATATTTACAATTGATTAATCACTGGGTGATGATCAATGACATGTATGTCAGAACCTTTTTATTGAAGATCAAATCCTATCGAGCAAGTTATAATGTGCTCACTAGTCTGGATGACTCGACATTGAGTGCACTATGTTGAGATAAGATAGGTAGTCAACAGAAAACCTTGAACCTAAGTTTTGTACTACTTAGCACTCATCAGTAAGGTGTAGCTGTAATCTTGATGGAACTGATGTTTCCTACTGAATTCGGTCGCGTGTCACCCAGCTTCACAGTCAGAGACGTTAGCACTGGGCTATCCGGGTCCTGACTGACCTTCTGTAAGACTGAGAGGTATTTACAATTGATTGATCAGTGAGTGGTGATTAATTTCAGGTCCTTCTTAGTCCAGATCGAATCCTATCGACCACATATGTAAGCGTTCAATGAAGCGAGTAAACTGATATCTTGTACAAACTAATTGATAATTCTTTTCGATTGGGTTATAGTTACGTTTGTTCGGTGATAATATCTTAATAACGGAATCAATCAATATTTATTTCAATCACCTTGATATTACCGAAATCAGAAGAACAACTTACCGTACAATAGATATCAATAGTTACCATCAATTTTGTCGGTGAGTAAATGGAGCTTAGTCTTTGCTGTATATAAAGAAAGAGATAAACTTTCTTGTTATTGTTAATGAGGCTAGTATGATCGAGCAACTTATAGTGGAAGTCATCGATTAATGAGTAAGTTTGTTGATTTGTACGCTTTGTGAAGGTTGAATCAACGACTTTCTGCTTATCTAATGTCATAATAATCTTTTGTCGATAAACTAATCGTTTTGACTGATAACAAATGACTGCGAAATGTTTGCTCCTTTAACTTCAACAGCCAATCAACATGATGATAAACGTCCTGTTGCTATACTGTCCTCTGCTCATCTCTATCTATCATGACTCAGAAACTCATAAGTTCATATGGATTATTTACTTTGTCAAACAGCACCACACACATTGTATGAACATTCCATGTACCTAAATTAATGGTTACTCTGGTTGTCAGAAGGGCATCAACTCCGTAACTTCCGAAGAAACTGGACTTTCACCATGGACATCATAACTCTTTCAAATGAAGACCTTCGAACTCCCAGGGCAAAGTTTATATGGTTTGAATTATTGTTTCTGGTTAGCGTTTTTTAGCGAGTTAGTTTTCTACGAGATGAGGTCGCTCAATCCTACTCCTTCATCTGGGCTTGGGATCGGCAGTAGCCACAGAGGGGCTCCAGGCGGAGTTGAGGAAAGAACCCAACTGCGTCATAAGGCAACCCCCACTTAGAATCACCAAAATACAATGAGAAGAGGAGAACCAAATAACACATTACTTCGAGAAAGGGAGACAGACATGAGAAGAATAACAGTTGGATGGAACTAGAAAGGAAGGCTTAGGACAGAATCGGTTGAAGAAGGCTGGTCGACGGTCTATGCTCCATTGGAAGTAAAAGGCGTAAGTAAGTAATGATACGAAACTAAGTAGTAGGTCCATAATCAATTAATGACAATTTAGAGATGGTTGAATGTTTAACAGCAACTATGGCTTACAATTAGGTAAACACAAATACTATAACCTTAGTGCTTAATAATTACTGTCTCTGATCTACTACCAGTCTCCACTAATATATTCAACTAAGCTAAATCTGAACATTTACACAATGAAATAATTGCTATGGTGATTTGATATTCTAATTACGTAACTAATTAATTTACTTACAATCAAATAGACCAACCAGTTAGATATTAATATAAAATCAGAGAAATACAATAATGCAGTGATCTATTCGAAGCCAACACTTGTCTATGCTCACTTCTAATCATCATTAACGATCAGGAATTCATTTTGCTCAAATTATTCAATCTAAGTAACAATTGCATAACAAATAATACTGTAGTGAAATTTCTACGTGTGTGTGTGTGTGTGGGCCAATATCTTGATAATAATGCGTCATCAAGCCAATATAATATGGTATATAGTTGTTGTAGACATTATTTAAACAAGGGATATTGTTTACACAATATAAAATTCATTGACAAAGTTGTAATACACAGGTAGACACGTATAGAGAGATTTGTGTTTTCAACTTTTTGTGTGAATACATTTTCTTATCAGTATAGGGGTTGTGGAGATTATTAAGTTTTTGATTGAGATCATGAACTGATTGATGTTAGACCACCATTGAAGATCTGGAAACACTGGATGGTTGTTTCTTCGTGTTATGCCTCAAAGGGGGCGCCGATTATATGACAGTGACTTATCGATCGGATCAAGGATTCAGAGACTCAATAGTCTATTCTGGTCCGTTGTCCCCAACTCTGCTAACTCGATCAAAAAGTCTGGGTAAGGTGTAGAAAGTGTATTCTACAGACAAACAGCAGATAACAAGTCAAGTCAAGCACACAAATCAAGCGTATTTATACAAATATTTACAATCGATATTGTCATGGAAGATTTTTGAACATTAATCAACAATTGACTGCTATTTGAACATTTAATCGATAGTTCATCAATTGACCTATTTGTACATTTAATCGATAAGTAAATTACAAAAATTTGAGTTTTGGGGATCTATCGTCCCCAACACTTCGTATGATGGGACTCCTCAGTAGTATGCATTCACGATTCTGCTCGCGAGATCCGATGGTGGTCTCACATCAACCAGTTCATAATCTCATTCAAAAACTTAATAATCTTCACAACCCCTATACTAATAATTACCATGTGCTCATCAATGACTAACTTCGTGAGGGAATTCTCGGAGTTCTAGTGAGAAGTGGTGATCAGTGGAGCTAATCGGTGTCGGGTAGAGACAGATATCTACCTCAGTACAATGGAAGATTGTTGCGCAATTTCGCGAATATTTTTTCGTTAGAGATGATAATTATTTATTCCAAGTGGATACTTTTGGTATTTGATTATTTTCTCTTGAATATAATGAATGTGAAGAATATAACATTTCGTAAGAAAAATATATGAGTTGTCAAAGTTAAAATACAGCAAGTCGTTCAAGAATACCTAAAAACACGATCGAAGAGAATCGAAAGGCAGTGGTGTTGGTGATAATAATTTTGAAATTGATTATTGTTCATTTCGGTCTAGATACT